AAATATCCAAGTATCATTCACTCTGAAATAACTATCACACCAGAAGGAAACACTATAGTGACTTGATAATAAAAAGCGAATGAAAAAAAGATTTTTTTTTCTTGATTGGGTCACTCGATAAGTCATTATGATACCTTTAACTTAGAGTTGCCTGTCTCTGAAGAAAAACGACGTAGAATGCATCTTTTTATTTTAAATGTGAATAAAAATATAATAATAATAATGATAATAATGATAATGGTAATAATAATAATAGTGATAATAATAATGATAATAATGATAATAATGATAATGGTAATAATAATAATAATGATAATGGTAATAATAATAATAATAATAATGATAATAATAATGATAATAATAATAATAGTGATATAGACAACAATAATAATGATAATAATGATAATGGTAATAATAATAATAATGATGATAATAATAATAATAGTGATAATAATAATGATATAATAATAATAATGATAATAATGATAATGGTAATAATAATAATAGTGATAATAATAATGATAATAATGATAATGGTAATAATAATAATAATTAATAATGATAATAATGATAATGGTAATAATAATAATAATGATGATAATAATAATAAGAAGAGTGATGATAATAATAATAATAATTAATAATGATAATAATGATAATAATGATAATGGTAATAATAATAATAATGATGATAATAAAAATAGTAATAATGAGAATGATAATAATAATGATAATAATGATTATGGTAATAATAATAATAATAGTGATAATAATAATGATAATAATGATAATGGTAATAATAATAATAATAATGATGATAATAATAATAATAGTGATAATAATAATGATAATAATGATAATGGTAATAATAATAATAAGAAGAGTGATGATAATAATAATGATAATAATGATAATGGTAATAATAATAATATGATAATAATGATAATAATGATAATAATGATAATAATGATAATGGTAATAATAATAATATTAATAATAATAATAAAATAATAATAATAGTGATAATAATAATGATAATAATGATAATGGTAATAATAATAATAATGATGATAATAAAAATAGTAATAATGAGAATGATAATAATAATAATAATAGTGATAATAATAATGACAATAATAATAATATTAATAATAATAATAATGATAATAATGATAATGGTAATAATAATAATAACAATAATAATAATAAATAATAATGATAATAATAATAATAGTGATAATAATAATGATAATAATGATAATAATGATAATAATGATAATAATGATAATGGTAATAATATTAATAATACTAATAATATTAATAATACTAATAATATTGATAATAACACTAATGATGATAAAAAAAAATAATAATAAATTAATAATAATAATAATAATAATATTAAATTTTAATATTAATCATAATAATGATAATGATAATAATAATAATCATGATATTAATAATAATAATAATGATAATAATGATAATGGTAATAATAATAATAATAATAATAATAATAATAATAATAATAATAATAATAATGATAATAATAATAATAATAATAATGATAATAATAATAACGTTTTTAATAAATCTAGTTTGTACATTGTGGGTTTATTTACCTGTGTTTATTTACCCGTAATAATAAAAATAATAATAACAATAATAAGAATAATACAAGTAATATGAATGAGGATAATAATAATAATAATGATGATAATAAAAATAGTAATAATGAGAATGATAATGAGAATGATAATAATAATAGTAACAATACTACTACTACTACTATGTAAAAAGAAGAACCAATGTAATTAATGGAATAAAGTGTTTTGACTTTGAAAAAAAAAATCTACTTATTCTGTATTACTGTACGCTGCCACAATCTATGTAAAAAGAACCGTTGTAATTAATGGAATAAAGTGTTTCGACTTTGACTTTGACTACTACTTATGATAGTAATAGTAATAGTAATAATAATAACAATAATAATAATAATAATAATAATAATAACAATATTAGTAATAGTAATAATAATAATAATAATAATAATAATAATATTAGTAATAATATTAACGATAAAAAAGTAACAAGTAAAAATAATAGTAATAACAGCAATGGTAATGACAATAATAATAATAATGATAATAATAATAATAATGATCAAAAATAACAATAAGAATAATAGCTCTGCTAATAATAATGATAATAGAAATAAAAACAATAATACTATTATTTATAATAGTGAAAAAGATAATAATAATAATAATAATATTAATAATAATAATAATAATAACAATGTTGACAATAGTCATCGTAATTATAATTATAACTATAATAATGATTATGATACTACTACTACTACTACTAATAGTAATGATAATTATAATAATGATACTAATGATGATTCTATTGATAATAGTGATAACAAAAACAACAATAATGATGATAATCGTAACATAATAATAATAATGATAATAATAATGATATAATAATAATAATAATAATGATAATAATAACAACAACAATAATAATAATTATAAAAAAATTAACAAATTACTAATAATAATGGTAATACTACTAATAATAGTAATAAAAAATTAACAATAATAATAATAACAATTATATTGATGATGATAATGATAATAATAATAATAATAATAATAATAATAATAATAATAATAATGATGATAATAGTAAGAATATCAATAATGACAATAATAATAGTAATGATAATAATAATAATAATAATAATCATAATAATAATAATAATAATAATGATAATAATAGTAATAATAATAAAAATAATAATAAAATAATAATGACAATGATAATAAAATAACGATAATAATAATAATGATAATAATGATAATAATAATAAGAACAATAGTACTAATTTATTAATAACAATAAGAACAACAACAATAATAATAATAAAAACAATAATGATAATAATAATAATAATAATGATAATAATAATAATAATAGTAATAATAATAATAATATTAATAATAATAATAATAATAATAATAGTAATAATAATAATAATAATGACAATGATAACAATAATAATAATAATAATAATAATAATAATAATAATAATAATAATGATAATAATGATAATAATAATAATAATAATGATAATAATAATAATAAATTAATAACAATAACAACAACAATAATAATAATAAAACAATAATAGTAATAAAAACAATAATAATAATAAAAATAATAATAATAATAATTGTGATAATAATAATGATGATAATAATAATAGTAATAAAATTAAGTGATTAAGTTAAATACAATGATGATAATAATAATAATAGTGATAATTATAATGATGATAATAATAATAGTAATAATAAAAATTATAGTGATTAAGATAAATACAATATTAACGGTGGTTATAAAATAATTCAGTGATTTGGTCTCAGTTCAAATAAAATCATGATATCTTATGATTTACATACTAGTAAACATTAAATCCATTTGAACTCATCAGTAAATGTGTTATTTGGTAAAAGAAACTCATACTCAATATTTCATACTTTTATTACAGTTAGATTCTTATTAATATGACTTATTAATAAACACTAACCTAAAAATCACAGTCTTTTCTGTAACAAAAGACTTTCATGACAAGTATTGTGCTATTCCATTTGATGGCTGACATAATATAATATTTACTTTGGTTTTGACTAGAAGGCAATAATCCTCTTTCAAAAATAATAAATCATATATATCATATATAAAAAGGCAGAGGTTGATCTGACATGCTATATGCATGGTTCCTCTTTATCAATTTCATCATTAGTTGCCTTGTGAAACACAAAGTCAAAAACTCAAATAATGCTTTTACTGAAAAACATATCATTATTAAGTTTTCTATCTACATCTCAATAATTATTTAATCAAAGTAAAATGCGTGGCATAAAAACAAAAAAAATCTCCACTAAGGAAAATATAAACTAATATACTACACTTCTGATATGGCACTGGTTACAGTTTCACTAGTAACTTGAACTTATCAGAAATCATAAATTTGGATATATAGCTCATATTTCATATAAAATTATAAAAATGTATAAAATATATAAAATCCTATATAAAACAACCCTATTCTTACACTAATATAAAGTAAGACTATTGGAATTCACATATTCTCATTCATCACAATAATCACAACGAATCATTGAATGGTATTTCATACCTAAATAAAGATGATTAGGTTTTCAATGTCTAATTAAAGCCAAGGAAGTCATTATAGGTAAAAATACTTATCATCTTTTTTTTTTACTTATCTATACAATTATAGATCACAACACGTTTAATCGTTAGCCCTGTCCTCGACGGATATATAGTGTATGCTCCTTATTTTGTTTTATATTTCTCTGTGACGACTTGAAGACTGCAATTTGACGCCCTGAAAATGGAAAGATATCTTTTATCAAAATTTGGCTGCATTAATATGATCATTACTAACATGATTCCCTAAGCAAAGAATGTAAATATACATTGTAAATCATATAAATCATTCAGATGAAGCATGTAAATATATAACTTCAAAATTGTATATGCCTACCTGTCCAAGACCACTGATCAATGAGGATAAATGCTTCACACTTTGGGATTTGCGAGCAGAGCCAGGCACCTTCTGCAGGTGAGGAAACTGACTGAATACATCCCCAGGCTGCTGTCTTCTGGCATGAAAAGTCCCCTTCCAATATTGTTTCACCAGGGTATGCAATATAATCTAGAGAGGTAAAAAAAAGTAATATATATATACAAGAAGAAAAAAATATATCTATGTATCCCTATGTATATCTATATGTATATATGTGTGCGTATATGTATATATATATATATATATATATATATATATATATATATATATATATATATATGTATGTATATATATGCATATATATGTATATATGTATATATATGTATATATATGTATATATATGTATATATATGTTTATATGTATATATATGTATATGTATATATATGTTTATATGTATATATATGTATATGTATATATATGTATATATGTATATGTATATATGTATATGTATATATATGTATATATATGTATATATATGTATATATATGTATATATATGTATATATATGTATATATATATATATATATATATATATATATATATATATATATATATATATATATATATATATGTATATATGTATATATGTATATGTATATATGTATATATATATATATATATATATATATATATATATGTATATATGTATATATATATATATATATATATATATATATATATGTATATATGTATATATATATATATATATATATATATATATATATATATATATATATATATATATATATATAATCACATCATGATATCTAACTACATTTTCAGAATATTTTCTTTTTCTATTATATAATCATCTGACAGAAGATATGTGTATTTCACATTTCACCCTACCAGCAGCTTACCTTTAATCATCTCCTTCTCAGTATTTTTAAGATAACTTCCGGAAGAGTAATTCTTCACTAAACGATGAATTTCTGAATAAACCTCTTCAGAGTACAAGTTTCCAGCTAAGAGACGGTTTAGAATATCAGAACTTGTGTTTTCTAAAGCTTTTGGACTTCCATAGGGGATCAGCAGACGCATGAAATGTTGCCCAGCTTGAATTGCATTGCTCAGGCTATTGTAGCCTTTACATCTCCCATCACTACATGGCACTGAGAAAAAAAAGAAAGAAAAAAATCATAAGGGGAATGAACTCCTCAAAACTCAGTCTTACATGAAAGACTGACAGTTAATTGAATCATATTAGATGATAGTTATTGTTTATATGAATTAGCTAGCCTAACTGTCCTTGTAGATTTATGTGTATAACTTTTTCTAGGTATATAAATTTTCATTTCTAAACATAGAAATGCCAGGAATCTATAAATAGTGACTGAATCTTAGCAGTACAGCAAGCATGGGACCAGATGGGCATCAGACCAGTGGATGTTCTGAGCCAGTAAAGCTTCAGACAAAAAATTCAAATAAGGGATACTTTGTGATTCAAAGCCATCTAGGAGCATCATGTAAAAGACCGCTATATTCAAATTACTTCCTAAACCACCAAAGATACTAAATGCTTGGCTCCTCAAGTTCAGCCAATGCTTGATGTACTCCTTTAATGTAAGCTTCAATATGAAATACTGTTGCATCACATTTCTAATACACCAAATACTTACAGTATGATTTAACATGTTTACCACTGCTAATCTCCAAAATGCAGTCCTTATCAAGAGTGCACTTAGGATCTCCAAGAACTATGTCATCCACATCAGATAACTTTAGTGTGTCACCAACAATAACAAATTGCTGCCGTCGAAAGTCCTTCATCAATAGAGAGCCGAGGGGAGAGTGGACGAGATGCTGCAGTATATTGACTACATCATATGCTAGCTGAAGAATGAATCAAAATATACTTGTAAGAAAAGGAAGTAGTCTCATTTTATAAAGTAAGAGGAACATTTCTTTATTTACTCCATGATATATTAAATCTAGTTTAACCCATTCACGCCGGGTGTCCCGTATATGTGACGGGCCCACTGTGAGTTTACTTGTTTGATTGTTTTCACACATAGATGGCTGCACTTGTACTTGTACTGCCTGTCTCGCCTGTTTACCCTTTTCTTTAATTTACGAAAATATTATACGTTATCTTATTTTGCTGTTACTAACATTATAGTAATTCTAATGTTTATAATAAAAATAACCATCGATATTCACTGTAATAGTAAAAATACATTTTCCCGCCAAATGAAATCAGGTAAGGCAGAGCCATCTAGTGTAGAAAAATTTCACAAAAAGTATAAAAATTGAGCTCGGCATTTCCCCCCATTTTTTGTTCATTTTTACCCGGCGCGAATGGGTTAACAAGACATGATTTTTTTTTTTTTTTCTTTTTTTAGAATGTTGTTAACCCATTCACGCTGGGTGTCACGTATACGTGACGGGCCTACTGTGAGTTTACTTGTTTAATTGTTTTCAAACATAGATGGCTACACTTGTACTTGTACTGCCTGTCTCGCCTGTTTACCCTTTTCTTCAATTTACTAAATTATTTTGCGTTATCTTATTTTGCTGTTACTAATGTTTATAACATTATAGTAATTATAATGTTTATAATAAAAATAACCATCGATATTCGTAACACTAGTAAAAATACATTTTCCCGCCAATTCAAGTAAAGGTAAAATCAGGTAAGGCAGAGCCATCTAGTGTAGAGAAATTTCATAAAAAATGAGCACAGCATTTTCCCCATTTTTTGTTCATTTTTACCCGGCGCGAATGGGTTAATTAGATCTTACCTTCAAACGACTTTCAAAATCCATCTGCAAAATTTCTATCATGTCCACAGGATGACCTAGTTCTGTGATCACTGCAACAATTCCTACAGCTGGAGGTCCTGGAGAATAATCTTCACTCGGTAAGCACTCCC